AAAAAAAATAAAAAAATAAAAAAATAAATCAAATTTCCCCCCCCCCCTCCACACTCCTGCACGGGGTAATTAATTTGAAGTCGATTAATTAAAACCCCCCCGCAGGTGTAGGGTTGCTTTTTGTTTGTAACCAAAACTCCGTTTAATCACTTTACAAATTAATTTTTACAAATTAATTTTTACAAATTTTTACAAATTTTTACAAATTTTTTCTCTCGCCGGCCACGCTGGAATAATAATTAAAATCTAAATAAATAAATGAATTAATGAATAAAGAAATTAATTAAATAAATTCCACAAAGTTTTGGTGGGTTTGTTTTTTTTTTTTTTGGGGGGGGAAACTGAAACCGAAATTGCCGGGATCAATTAACGAGGCTCATAATTAATTAATTAAATCATCTTTTCCCCTGCAAACGGGAGATGGGCAGCCCTGGAAAAAAAGGCTCGGGTTTCGTGATTCGGCTAATTAATTAATCTTAATTAATTAATTCACCCGGCAGGTGTGGAGCGTCTCCATTTCACCCCTTTGTGCCGCTCCTCCCCCATGGCCGTATTCTCATTTTTAACGCGGATTTTTTACTCCCCTCACTCGTTAAAATCTGATTTTTCTCCCCTAAAATCTGCAGCCACTCAATTCCATAAATGTTCATCCAGGAATTATCGAATTAAAATGAAATTATTTGGAATTTCCAAGCCAGAGCTGGTGAATTCATGAATTAACTCCTATCAAATTCCCATTAATAATCTCATTTTTAATGATTTTTTTCCCTCCTCTCCCATATTAAATTCTAATTTTTCTCCCCTAAAATCTGCAGCCACTCAATTCCACAAATGTTCATCCAGGAATTATCAAATTAAAATGAAATTTTTAGGAATTTCCAAGCCAGAGCTGGTGAATTCATGAATTAACTCCTATCAAATTCCCATTAATAATCTCATTTTTAATGAATTTTTTTTTCTAAAATTCTGATTCTAAAATCTGCAGCCACTCAATTCCATAAATGTTCATCCAGGAATTATGAAAATAAAATGAAATTTTTAGGAATTTTCGAGTCATGACCAGACAATTGGGAGAGCACTCAGGGTTTTGAAATAAAATTAAATGACATTTTGATTTTTAAAATTCAAATAAAATGAAAAATATTCAAATAATTTCGTTATGAAAATTTTTCTTCCTCACTAAGAATCGCTGGGGGTAGGGTGGTGAAATATTGGAATTTTTTTTATTTTAGTGTCAGGTTGGGACTGTAAAATTTTTAATTTTTTTTTTTTTTAGATGCAAAATTCCAAATTCCATTGGATTTTCAAATTTTTTTTTTTTTATTTTTTTCCTCACCCAGGGCTTACCATGTCCGGAGTGGAAAAATCCTGGCAGTGAAGGTAAAAAATTCCAGATTTTTTTCTTTTTTTTTCTTCTTTTTTAAAATTTTTCCACTTTATATGAAATAGAAATTCAATATTAAATATTGTATATTAAATATTTAATATTATAGAATGCATATTTTAGTGTATTATACATTTTATAGCTTATATTTTTATTATTTTTTATTTTATATTTTATATTTTTTAATTTTTTATTTTTATTTCGTGCTATGTATTGGATATTTTCTATTTTATTATATATTGGATATTGTATATTTGTTGTATATTCTACATTTTATTTTCTACATTTTATGTTTCATATTTTTTATTTTATACCATATATTGTAACTTTTATATATTCTATATTTTTATTGTATATTATGTATTTTATATTTTGTATTTTATATTTTTATTGTAGGTTATCTATTCTATACTTTATATTTTTATTATATACTATATATAATAAAAAAATAAATATATATTCTATATTTTTATTTTATTATATACTATATATTTTATATTTTTATTATAGATTCTATTTTCTATATTTTATATTTTTATTATATACTATATATTCTATATTTTATATTTTTATTCTATATTTTATATTTTTATTCTATATTTTATATTTTTATTCTATATTCCATATTTTATAACTTTTATTTTATATTATAAATTGCATATTTTCTGCCAATCACACATTTCACCTTTACATTATCTATTCTACCACGTCTATTAAATATTATAAATAATTTATAACAATTTATCAATTAAATGACATTATAATCATTTATATAAAATATCAATAATTGGGATGGGGGAAGGAAAAATGGAAAAATTCCCGGGGAGCCAGGAGAGAGCTGGGAATGTTCCCATGGAAAAGGGAAAAAAATCCAGGGAATGATCAG